TAGTACGTTTAATATTATTCATAAACAGGTTATGGGTACGTAAGTGTTGTGAAGAAACAATTTAGGGTTGCTGTAACAAAGCAACAATACACATGTTTCAATAATGCTAGCATATTTGCCATATGTAAAAAATAGTTTCTGTGTAATCGAGAAGAATATTGGGTTGAATTTAAAGAACGAAAGGGAGAAAATTAGGGAATACAAATGAGGATACGTGAAATACGTAAATAGTTTAATAAGTGTGTTTGTAATAGAACAAAAATAAACGATTATATATGTATTATTAAGAACGCAAGTTTCTGTCAAACAAAACATGTGAATTCCGTTCTCTTTAAACAACCAGTTCGATCGACCATACGGTAACAATCACAAATACGGCCACAAAATTTGTCAGCCACAGAAGTCTAGTAAGAAAGTTAAATATGAACACGAAAGACAGTCTGAATGTAGATAATGGCAGGAACAGAACTGAATAGTAAATACTGCTGGAAAAAATAAACTACTCTAATTTAATGAGGACCAAAGAAGTAGTGATCAAAGCTGTTGACTTTGTTCAATCCCATTTTTGGATTGCATCGGTGTGTTTATGCAAATGATAGCTTGGTACATACGATCCCTCGAGTTCTACAATTTAAAAGACGATAATAGCCAATAACCTCCTTATGATGACATAACCGAGGTTCAAAACAGTACACAAGAGATACAGAAGAAGTACTATAGGACATTGCAGATACAAATAAAACTAATGGTAGTTGAACGCTAATTTTTCCACCTGATGCAGACGCTTAATAAAGCCCAATCATCACAGCAGGAAAAAACTACCTATCAGTCGAAAAATATCTTGTCAAGAGAAAAAAGGCTAGGTCAATTAAATCTGCTTCAATGGTGAGCAACCAATTAAATAATAATAACTATATGGGAAATACAGTTAATTACTAGTTACTAACAGCACATGTCCCTAGAGTAAACAGTAGGTGTGCTTCAAAATCAACCACATGGAACAGAAGCAATCAGTTCACAAAGTACCAGTCAAAGTGTCACAATTCAGCGCGATGACCTTCAAAGACTCATATTGAGTAAAACAGAGATAAAACATTCATTAAAAGACTCGACGGAGCCGAAGAATTAGTTACGAATAAGAATTTGTAAACAATATGTTATTACTGACTTTGATCAGCCCGAAAACATTTTAACAAATATATCAAATACTGAAAACGATAAAAAGGCAGTACATCCATCAGAAATGGGGGGATTTTTTTCATATTCTCACAGGGACGTACCAAGATGGATTTTAAGAAAATTATGTTCAAATGTAAGATGTTGTGTTATCACTACAGTCAGCGTATACCTGGAAGATTCCCTACACACTTAATCATGATAGAATTAAAAAATGTGTTAGTAGTCGATGATAAAACGACATGCTTAAGAAAGGTCTTAAGAACTAGTATCTCTTTTGTTATGTTTACGACCTATATTCAAGAATAGAAAGTATTTTGCCCAACCCTCCTGCTGACTACCAAGGCCAAATATGAACGATAAAATTTTGTTGAAAATCACAATCCCCAATAGCTTGCATATGGTAACAATTGGACTGGATTTAGAAGTTAGGCAGGAATGTCCGGAAATTAGGAATGATAATAAGTATCATCAATACTTCTAGTTGACATTCTCCCTACAGATGTGCACGAACTACGATATCTGTAACATCCAGATGAGGTAATTTACTCGTACGAATTCTACCAAGATGAACATGTGGACGTCGCAGAAATGAGTCTTGCCGCGGACAAATAAACCCAATGGTGACAATGCTGAGACTGCCTAGATAATTGGTCTAAGTAAATTAAGCACTCCATTTAACTACAAATAAGGTTATCCTTTCTGATAGTCGTGCACAGATGCACTAGATCTTTCTCGCCAATTTCTCTCAATATTTAATTTGTTAGGAAATCTTCATGAACACACTGAGAAGGCCAATTAACAGCTTTTATTAGCATGTTCGTCTCTATGAGATATACAAAAATTGTAGGAGAGTAGGAGCTAAGATTATATCTCTCTAATTGAGTTTCATCAACCTGCAAAGTACTTCTTGAATTTAGAACTAGATTCATTAATGTATGAGTTTCAAGTAACCTCGAGTCTTAAAACAGGCTGTGTTATGATGATTAGGAGTATTTGAATTATAGTACGAACTAAGAATCCCAGAAATAACGTAATCCGATCAAGAAGTACTAGATAAGCACGAACGAATGTACTGTATTTAGAATTCGAAATCAAGCATTCAAAAAGTACAAAGGAATCATTAGTTCATTCAAATACCACATGTGTGTTAGCATATTTTCGTGGTATTTGTACGAACTAATGAACCCTTTGTGTTTGATTGCGCGCTTACTAAGAATTACAGATATAATATGTTCAGTAATGTTCATCTAGTTCTACCTACCTTAAATTACATTATTTCGGAAATTATTAGTTCGAATACTTCTAGTTATCATAATTTCGTAATCTTTACATTACTTTCATGCAAACTCTCTTTTTACAAATGTACCTTTGACTGAGACTGTGGATTTCCTTTGTGACTATATAACGACTAATTTTCCCTTTTTTCCTATTCCGTCATAATTGTTGAAAGAATTACTTTGATTATGTACTGCAAATGTTCAATTGCAAATGTCAGTTAACGCAAAGACCTCTCGCTTATTCGGTTCCAAAGAAAAAAGTTTATATCTATCTACCATATAGAGATGAATCCAATCGTATATTTTTAAGACAGAGATTGAAAGCAGCCAACGCGAAAACCTATTATGCTCCTAAATTGGTTGTGACTGAAAAGTCTAGGTCCATGATTCCAAATAGACCTAAACAATGCACTAATGATTACGTCACATCCCATTGTATTTACCAATTTACATGTTTGTGTGGACACACATACATAAGGAGGAGTAATCGAACAATGCAACCAAGGGTAATTGAACATGTGCCTAGATGGCTTCAAAATCAATGTGAGTCAAATGGTCCAATCAATGAGGAAGCAGAAAATCATGTTTATCGATAGTGAAGCATAACTGAAACGGGGCACATAATTGACATTAATACAGCTTTTAAAACATTGTATAGAAACTGTCAAGGACGAATTCTCAAATTTATGAAAGCCTTGGCTATTCGTATATTTAAACCCCCCTTATATGCACAAAAACAATATGCCGTAACGTTGAATTTACTCTGGTAATCATTAAGTCATGTTATGGCCTAAGATAATGCGACAATTTCTTATTCTTTCTATACGATGATTCTCTCCCCTTTGTTACCGGTTTTACTTGAACTAACATTTAATTGACCTTTATTAATTTTCATATAAAAATGCCCTGACCAGATTATTCGAAATGTATAGCGCAAATACATCACATTCCTCAGATCAACTCCGCCTTCTAATTGCCTTAAATATTCTAATTACCATTATCGCCACTTGGTAAATTCAATATCGAACCTAATGTAATTTGACCGCACATTTACAGATCTGTTTCCCTAAGCTATTGTGAATTTATATGAGTGTAACATGACATATTTCAGTCTACAAAAATTAGATTAACACATCCATCATAAGGAGTGATGACCTTCATAGCTAACAAGAATAGCTGACTCTTTCTAACAATCTAAAAATCACCCCAGACGGAAGTTTGCTTTGCAGAATGTATAAAGCTATAAGTTTGGTAACAACTTTATAATCAATTATCAAAAGACACCGATAATGAAAATTTGATTTTCGATTGAAAGTAGTTTGCAGTTAATAATAATTAATAAAGTACAATAAAAGATAATCCTATCTAAGAATCCTAAGATCATATAAGCATTTGATATGTAGGTTTCCTGTTATTCTCTATACAACCAAATTTCTGATCCTATAGAAAATTTTACGGTATTATTCCCATATACATTTTCAAGTACGTGAATATAACACAAGACAACTGAACTACTCATGTGAAACAACGCATTTCAACAGCTAGAATTCGAGGTTTTGGATTTTGTCTAAGCTGAACACCTTATTTCCAAATTTATTATGCAACAGTGTTATATACATAATAAAGTATATTTTCATTCCCACTAAAAAGTATATGTATTAAAATGCTATAAACATTGCAAATAATCATATTTGAATACTTTTATAGTAAAGTGATATCAACAGAAGGATCATTGAAAATTAAAGAATACTGAACATGCATTTTGTAATATTCATGAATTCCTTTTTGATGCTCACATACAACCCTCAATTCAAAATCAAAATCTTCATGCAAAATATTAGTTTTAGAAAATACCCACTTTAGTATCTGCTTTTACCTTTAATAACCTCTTTTGAAGTGATGTTTCAAGGTTTTATCCTATACAGATTGACTTCCATTTCCGGTAAAACTGCTGTGAACTAGGATATATATATATATATATATATATATATATATATATATATATATACCTTCATAACAATAGTAAAAAGAACAACTAGAACATATATAAAGACTATAATTTTTAATTATTGACATATTTCAATGAGAAACAGAGCAAAGTTGAGTCTGGTCACAATCAACCAATATATATCAATAAAAATAAATTGTTGTTAAAGAAGAAAAGTAACTACTATATTTCATATCATGAAATTAAATAGAAATATGTCATGTTAATTAAATGAAGTGAAATAAACAAAGTGAAAGCTCTTAGGTTATAAGTATATTGTTACTTAAGTGGTGCAATTTTAAAATAGAACAAAATGAATAAGAAAAGTTGATGGATAAAAAAATGAAGAAAAGGTTATAAGGCCGGTGTGTGTGTGTGTGGAGTACATAGGTGTACATCTAAATAGACACTAGAATCTATAAGTTTGCCAAAAAAAATAAACGGAAAATATATAAAAACAGAATAACAGTAATAATAATAATAACGACAAGGACAATGTTTTCTTTATTACCCCCTCCCCAATATTAACAGCATCGATAATAATCCAGATATTTAAATTAAACTTTATCTAACGGGAGAATATCATTCTCATCAGCCAATGGAATCAAATCACAAAACATAGAACTTTCAACCTAAAACAAAAGAAAGGTAAAACACAAAATAAAACTTAGTGAGGAATAGAAATCCAAATCATGAATGCATAACGTTGTGAAGGTCAAAATGAGGATAAAGTATATTATACTCACTAGTGACTGGCTTCAAGATGTATATCCTGGAGGTCTAGTGAGAAGCAGTGACCAATGGAGTTCAACCGGGTTAATTGTAAGATAGTAACTCACTGATGACAATGGTGGATATGTCGCTCAATTTCGTGAATTGGTTGAACTTAGACATTAACACCGTGTAATCTCGGCTGGCTCAGCGGTCTAGTGGTTAAGCGCTCAAACGCGAGACTGACAGGTCCTGTGTTCGAATCTCGCGAAGCGAGATCGTGGATGCGCGCTGCTGAGGAGTCTCAGAGTAGGAAGAAACGGCCGTCCAGTGCTTTCAGGTTTTCCATGCTGGTCTAGCTTCAATTGACTCATGACCTCAACTATTAAAGTACATTTGTCTAATCCTGCCTAGTTACATTTTTATGTAGTTGTTTTAAAACTGATGAAATTCATAAATGACAATTCAATAAAATGCTCACAAAACTAAATGAATAAATAATGATTATTTCCTCAGTAAATTGTTGAACAAGAATTGGATGGAACTAGAAAAGAAGGCCCAGGACAGAGTGGGTTGGAGAATGCTGGTCAGCGGCCTACGCTTCATTAGGAGTAACAGGCGTAAGTAACCTTCTCAATAATGTAAATAACTTTAGAACAGATTTACGAAGTCCTAAAATGAAATGTCACATCTCAAACTGACTTAAAATTGAAAATCAAAGACCAACAGGATCCAATCGTAGACAATTCACAGTTATATAAATTTCACTAGGACATCTAAGAATCTTAAATTAAATCATTCCGTCTGATGCGATTGTATAAATGCTATTGAAAAGTCCTAAAATGATAGGATGAAATGCCTTTCTTCACTGTTTTCGTTTTAATGGATTTCTTAGTTGATGCCAGTTTATGATGATAATTAAACCTATGTAATGTACAATTACTACAAAGTTTAAATTCTTAACATACTACTAAACATTTAAACATACTTTTTGATTCAGAGATAATATCAGTCACACTTAACAATGATTTAAATGTAAATCAAAAACATCTCTATCTGAAAAACACTTCAAAAAAAATTGAACCTTAAAGCCACAGATCTTTGTATGTATAAATTGATAAGTCTTCTAATTGAATACTAGATTCGGTTCCTAAGCTCTTCTACTAACCATCACGCTCAATCTACACAGCGACTTGAAGACGAGAATAAAGGTGCGATATATGAAAAAAACGATTTACTCCAAAGGCTCGTTTATATACAGAAAATCTAGGGTATTTATGGTATTTTAGATGTCTTTGAATTTCCGGAAAATTCTGGAATGCTACTAAAAACAGTAGCAGTATAAGTAATCATCTAATCAGAAACTTGATGTGTGATTTTTCACTTCCTAGAAATTTTGTGCAAAACTTCTAATGAATGGTGATTGGATAAGATGCTTCCCAGTGTTTTTAGAGCCTTTCTTGGCTTTTTTTTCAAGGAGTTTTCTGGATCTCCCCAACAAATATAAAAACGGAAATCCATTTCAATGGTTTATTTAATATATCTCCAGTTAATGATAACTTCAAACATCATTTTACTTATTCAAGTAACATACATAAATTGATAATCAAATTACATTAGTATCATGTATTAGAAATTTAAAACTTTTGAACATAACACATAGGATATGAAGATATCAAAAGTAATGAAATTAGTTTTGAGATGTTCTGTCTTTATATGACTAAAATAAGTTGAAGCCATATAAGCAACTTTGTGATCTATGTTCTTTAATCTCTTCGGCAATTATTTTTTATCTGATGATAAGTGACTCATTAAGATACTACCTTGTTTAAACATTTTGTATATATCTAAATGAAGACACTAATTACATAATATATTCAATTATTCGATTAAGCATTCATTTTTCGTACAAGCGTTTTATGGAGATTGTTGAGCTTTCATAGATCATATCACCCCTTGATTCTAGTTAGTTAAACAAGAGTTGAATGATGGCTCAGTGGTATGGAGGTTAGGCGATGACCGCGTAACTGAAAGTCCTAGTTTCAATCCCTGGTGGGTCGTGAATGAGAACTTCTAGGGATTCCTATACTACGACGAAACAGCAATCTATTGCTTTCCAAATTTTATTGGTTGTCTGACTAAAGTCAGTTAGCGATGTAATCTATGGGAATTCAAAAATCTCCACGATACACCTGTAATAACAATAATAATCATGTGCACACTAGTAACTAAGTTCAAAATGGGATCCTATCTTTCTTTAAATCTATTTGATTGAAATTTATGTAATAGTTCATCAAAAAAATCATCAGTTCACTCATTACATTCATTTCAGTTTTTTGTTAAGAACTAATTGAGTAATACAACGCCTAGTTTGTACATTTAAAACAAATAACTAATTGATCAGTTTATATTCAAGAAATAAGAACATTAAACGTACCGACATTGAATATATACACTTTGTGGGCTCAGAGAATGACAAGTAAATATCTTTACTTGTTGAATGTAAACATCTAGGAATTATTCGAAAACAAGAAATTTCAAAAGATGTACATCATACACATATAAAAACAGTGAATATTTTATTTTTTATGATATTAATATGAGAATACTATATTTGAGTTCTGTTTCCACTAGATAACAAACAAGTGATTATAGGATGTTTGTGGTGGCTGATAACTATGTCAAGCCCACTTAAGTTATTCTAGCTTCTGAACAGTTCAATTTATTCATTCTACTCAAACTACATTTTGACCTTGTCACTTATTCGTTTATAAGTCCTGACTGTTTTTATATGATCGTATGTGTGTGTTAACTACCTACCCTATTCATTACGTGTCTGTAACTTATTTTTTGTCTAAATATAAATATTCGATCAAGCTTGATCAAAACGAGTGGGCTCACATGCCTTCTCCAATCCGTTCCGCTTTGCTTCGTTTCTCTGATTGTCTGTTTGGGTGAACGATTGAATGAAATATATGAATTCAAAATCCATTCTCGTGTTTGACTTATTTAACTCGGATAATCCGTAACGTGATTTAAGTCGATAATTATAAACGAGGGAAACCGAGATGCATATTTCGACAGCAATCATCATATGATATAACTGGAGTCAGATATCGGGTCATTAAAAGTTTTTTTTAAATCAATAACTCACCAACAGAGTTAAGACTTGCCCATCATACCACTAATTACAGCAATTAATCTAAGTTGACTGGAATATTTATACTATATGAGGCTACTATACCAGGTAAGTCAGTTTAAGTATTGAGGGATAACCCGCACTACTGACAGTGTTATGGTATAGTGATACCAAGTTGTTCCCTAAGAGTAATCAAAACCCTAAATGCTACTGTTTTTTTCACAAACGAAAGAACGGGTCATAAAAAATGATGCTAAAACTAGAACATCTCCACTTTTCACGCAGAATTCTGGTTCCGACGGTAAGGTTTGAAGTGCGAGGAGATAATACAGCGTAAAGTACTCATAAAAACATCAGGAATGAACGGCCACAACAAGCAGTCTCTTGGATTCTATGGTCAAAAGACCACGTTCCTAAATTTATTTAATGATATCTTTTCATGGTTTGAGTGAATGGACATTAACAACTACCAGTATATAACTGAAAACACACAAAACAGAGAATTGTATAACTGAAGGCACTAGTATAAACCAATAAATTCCAAAAACTTCCTATTTCAAGTAGGCGAGGATGTTGTGCAGAATAGCAGTGGAAGTTCACAATTAAACTATCAAGATTAAACGAATCAACACCAACAAATTATCTATAAGAGCTACAGATTTTCTATCAGTTATCCTAAAAGTACGTAATTTTGCATTTGATTTCAATGTAGAATAACTGTAAAAACAAAATTTGAATATTCTTGAACAAAATAACTGTTAAGTCTATCGAAGCGTCCAATTGAGATATGGGCGAAATCGAAGTTCACAAAGTAACGATTCTTTATCGAATAATATACAAAAATTAGTTACAAACATCAACTTTTGAGGTGTTTGTAGCGTTTACTGCGTCTTTTTTTCTGAAATAAAAAAAGGCTAAATAAGTGCAACATGACAGCCTTTGGGTTGTGTCTAATCATGATAACGATCTATCAACAAGCAAAAATTGAACTAAGAGCAAGCAATATTGAAACTATTGTGTTTAAACAAGGGTTAAGTGATTGCACAAAATTGTGAATAACTGCTACAATGATTGATATAAAGTAATTATAATGATAAATACAATAAATGTTATAAGTACAGATAAATATTTCAGAATATTACACGACAAACTTGTGTTACAACATAAGTGTAGAAATTGCTAGGAATACAACTATTTACTGAATATCAATAAGTAGCATAAAACAATACGGAAAAGAGTTGAAGGGAAGTGAATAAGGACAGAGAACGTAAAACAGATTGAACAATAACAAATGAAAAATAAGAACAATAATACAATACGGAAACACTAAACAAGTTAATATACTATTCAGTATGCACCATACTTATTCTCTGGAAGTTAAAATGTTGCGGTTCGTCATTTTCAGTGTTACAGTCGAAACACCTCTGGTGGAGTTTTTATACATGGAAAGTTAAATAAGTACCATACATAAATTTGTTATTTATGGCTCGTTAGGACGAAGTATAGATCCATGTACTGAAATGTGATTCGAATGTCTGTTGTGTGGCCTAATGGTTTGATATGAAGTATGATAACTTGGATCGATGGAAATTTATGTCAGATCACACATTGTTTACGAGTGATCATAGCTCATCCACTTTTTTATACAGCATAGATGTTAAAGAAAGCCTCATTTAAGTTACGAAGTAGGTTTTGCAATATTGATTATAATTATTTTTTACCAGTTGTCGCTTCAATCATTCGACATCCGAAAAAAGCAATGCTAATAAGTTAGTTAATTAATCCTGACAAAATAAGTTGTAAAGGCGATTGGCGTTTCAGGAAAAAAGAAAAGCTTTAATAAAAATTTGCGAGAGTGGAGCACTGGAGAAAGTAAAGCACATGGACACGTTAATAATTCGTGTTATAGTTAGGGGCTTCAACGCAACTATACTTTGTGAAGCGAATGGACACTTTACTAGTCTGAGTTTTTGCACAGCTGCATTAGACTTTCCTATCCGAAAAACTTGTAACAAAAAAGCGCAGAGAGCAATAATTTGTACATCAGTATAGGATGTGGGTAAAAATCATCGTAAGTATGTGTTATATACGCACATAGAATATAAAAGTCAGAGACTGATAAATTCAAAGGTACACACATAGGCATAGATGTTCGAGGTCGCAAGCATACGTTAAATGAATAAATAGAATGCATAGACAGAGGCCTATACACTCTTAGTATACACATAGATATGGATAGGATTTGAATTCGTTGTACCAAGTCGGAGCCCAGTAATAGTAGGAAATGAAGTACTTGCCTTCAAATCATTGGATTAAAACTTGTCTATTGACGATCAGCTCATTCACGCTCAATACTACAAACAAATTTAGTTTTCACCCCTGTGCAGTGGTTACGGCATAATTTATGGCAATTGATCAGGTTTGTCCCAAACCTGATGGGTATTCCTAGGGATAATCCGGTCCAACACAAAAAGAAATAACATATTTTTCCAGTTCTGCGCATCCCATAAGTCTTTATTAAAAAGTAGTCGAATTTATGACAGGGTGGGGTTGAGCCCGATCTCCACCTAGCCTCTCACACTAGCTCATGGGATTAGGTTCCACTACCCCGGGAGTACCTTGAGGTGTGAGTCGGACCACTTAATTTAATGATGATCCTGTTTGGAACCGTATTAAGCATAACTCATCTGACATTTAAAAAAGTTGATAAATTATTCCCTGATCTCGCAAAAAAGGAATTAAAACGAACTGACTATCAATAGATCTTATAGTATTTAGCCATATCAAGGACAAAATTTACAAGTATTTGCTGTACTCGTAAGAATTGGATCTGGTAATAGCAATTTATACTAGAAAATCGATAGTTCAGTAGGACTAAGAAAATAGACTAGATTAACACTAAATTAACAGAGATTACGACACTCAACCACATGATACACACGAATTCATTATGCGACTAACGATCAAAAACCAGATGTAGGTCGCAATAAGAGATTAATAATACACAATACAAAACAGTCAACAGATGGAGAAGTCAAAGTGGAACAAAACTGAAACTAAGTTTAGAAATGAGATAGTCTCTTTCATTCAGTGTAGTCACATATGCCTGTCTTCTCATATAGAACAATCACCGGTTACTTTGACCAACATTTCAGAATACAAAGTTAGATCTTACTGAAGCTTTTTGTATTGTACGTATGCGTCTGAGAGTATACACAAAAAAATACAAGAACATAATAAAGATAAACAGTAGTTTTACGAAAAAACTCACTTCATTTTTACCACAACTTCTCGAAGTTTGTTAGTTTCTGTACACAAATCACCTTGACCATAGTATAGTGAAATTTGTCTGTAAAATAAATACAGAATAAAAGTAACTAAATGAAAGTACAATCAAGTAAATTCACAAAAGGTTTAATGCTTGTCACAAGACCTGAAGGGTATGAGTTTGGTCCTCTATGAGGTCGCAGATTAGAGTTCCTGAAGAGCTGCATACTATAACAAAACAAATTTTTAGTGTACCCTATTTGTCAATGAATGCCTGATCCAAGTCAATTCGTGATGCCAACTAGTCATAGTCATTATTAAGGTTTTGTGGAGATTGTTGAATGTTAATAAGATCACGAACTGACCTTAGATAAACAACCATTGAAAACAAGGACCAAAAAAGCTGTTCAGTACCCCAAAGTTTTCAAAATTTTCTAACTTGGGTCAAGTATGTGATCGCAATAACATTCAATAATCTCTACAAAACCCTATATAATGATAATAAAGGTTCGATGAAAACAAGTGAAATCAGAAGTACAGATATTTATTACCTATTAGAACTACCGGAAGATTTTTGTTTTTTAACATTATTCTCTTCAAACCATTTTAAATGTGCGTCTAAATCCCAATGGCCAAGACGAATTTCTTGAAGTTGTTTTGTATTTGCATCCTTTAACAGTGAATCGAAAATAAAAGAATATTTAGTCAGTATATATTAGTGACATAAAAAAAACGTAGTAATAACAGGCAGAGATGGATGATGGGTAACAGTGGAATCTGGGACGCGCGTTACGTCCTATTTGGAACTCGTCGACTGAATGTACCTGCATTCCGAAGTCACTGTCCATCCACAGACGTGAACCCAGTAGCGTCTGCCTCGAACTCCATCGTATCATTCACTTAGCTGCTGAGCTGCGAGTCCCAAGTAAGACGAAACGCGTATTCTAAATTTCGTTGCTAGCCACCAGTCATCTCTACTTATAACGCTTGTGAATTGAAGCAATATCGAGAAAATGTGCACAGCATGCACATATGCCAGAAGAGACGAATCAATTGCAATTCAAATATCAATGGGGAGATTCAGACAAATAACACAAATGAAAAAAGTACCAACTTTTCAGATTCCTTCACATTTAAAATGTTTAACTTAAAATGGTCAACAGTCGTAAGACTATATCATTTATGAAAAATTTGTCATGACAGAGATATTATACAGTCAGGGTGTTAATTATCCATATTTTTATAGTCTGCTTTTTGTTAGAGAGGACTCAACTACTTATCGATACTACACACCCAACATTCTTAACCCAGTTCCCCAACCAACTTTTATGGAAAAATTAGTATTTTATATGCAAATTTTCTTTTTACTGATCAGTAATTATCAACAAACAATAGAATAACATAACCACTATTTCAGTGGTTGAGGTCATGAGTCAGTTGAAGCTCGACCACCATGGAAAACCTGGAAACACTAGACGGCCGTTTTAAGTAAAACGAAAAGTCACAAGTTAAAAAAGAACAATTGTGAAAAGAAGATAATCCAAAAATTACCAGGTGATATTGTCTTATAAACTTGTTGAAGCATATTTCATATGTCCACCAACCTAAATTACCAGTTAAACAAAGTTTTCCTTGAAGAAATTCCATAACCTGATTATCATTGACAGATTTCATCATAGATGGGTTAATCTTAGGTGATGTTGATGATGGTGTTTTCAAGCTAGACGACACTTGATTTACAACATCTAAACCAGAAAAACTTGAACTATCGTGACTATTTTTAGCATCATTGACCTAAGTAAAGAAAAAAAGATAGGATAATGGACGTATAATGGAATGCAGATTAACCTATAGTTTACAAAACCATTATATGATGATAGAAGCTAGTTACATAGAAATTAAATTAGACAAAGTTATGGATATTTAAAACTTCCAAGGATTTGCATCAGAAGCACATTGGTGCAATGATAGTAAACACTAAATCGTATAAAATTCAGTAATAACAATTATTAGTCAACTGAGTGAAATACAATATGGTTATTGCACTCAAGAAATTTAGCTTTTTTGTGTATAGGTAGATTTAACGTAGATGGTTAGGGGTAGAGGTAGTCAGTAGGAAATCATGAACCTATATTTCATACTTTATGAGACTCTTCAGCACATCTTACCTGGAATACTAAAAAAAATGATACTCACTGTGAGATTTGAACTCGGCTCACCCAGTTTCGTAGTCTCAGACATTATTAGTGAGCTATTCCGCCAACAACTTATTTCGAGGACTGAAGCATTTACAACTGACTGATCATTGAGTGGTGACTAGCGCCGTGTTTGTCTAGTTCTTCAGAGCTGATCGAATTTCATAAAACAAGTTGTGATTTGATCCAGAGTCTTCTACCGACTATATTTGACCACTTAAGATCTCAGCATAATACATGAAAAGTTACGTCACTCACACTAGTGGACAGGTTTAAGCGTGGTCGATAAAAATCTATCAGCACCAAACAATTAAGCAAGCATGATATTAGTCGCTACTTAGTGATTGATCCGTTGTAATTTATGTCAAAATCTGACATAATCTGAAGAACTATTATAAATCAAAAGGCGTCAAACAGTTTTTCCAAATCTTTAACAGCGATGGATACTCATAACCTTTCACACGGTATCGAACTCAAATTCTTTAGGTTTTACAACTAGCATAACACCAATGAACAAGTAAGTTGAAATTACAATAATTCTTCAGTTTATGTTATTTCATAATGGAAATCACATTCGAAATATCAGTAATACACTATCTGTAATATAACTCAACAGTAGTCTGTCCTTTAGGTAATCTCAGCTATCATACCATCTTAACTATGAAAATTTATTGGAAAGTTTTTTTAAAAAGAAGGCAGTATTCATGTAGAAAAGATACTGAATCCACAAATCACTTACATTAGTTTTTGTATTATCGACCTGAGAAGTGCTTTCATCATCAGGATCTTCAGCCGGATTTACTTGGTAAAAAAGCACATCTTTACCATGTTTTGCACTGATCTAAAAAGATTATTTTCCAAACAAACATATGTATCTGTCAGGTTTTGTAGAAAAATAAGTACATAATTGATAAAAGAAATACCTATTAGGAATGGTGTAAAGCTAAAGGAGAACTAGTGAAAATAATTGTTTCACATCCACAGTCCGGTCGTTTCAAAATCGTAAGTCTACATAGACGTACATCGAAGTGGATCTATGATGATTAGGCCATGTAGCACACAAGAACTACATGACTAGATCACATGGGGTCCGAATTTAATATTTTAAAGTTATAATTAAAATTTTATGGTGTAGCAATTATGTATGCATATTCCTACTTGAATGAGAACAAACACTCATTGGCCAAGTGAACGATTGGAATATGATGTGTTGGTGCAATGAGTTATAAATTTGATGTGTAAATTAAAAATAATACTCGATTTATCAAACTGAAGTAAACTCAGAGTAATGCAAAGTTATGACACGATAGTTAAAAACTAAGATCTTAAAATTATTGAGTCATATAATGAACAGCACTCATATGAGTGCATTTAGTTTAAGTTACGCTATACCACTCAGAGACAAAATAAAAAACCGAGATGGAAAATAGTAAAAATTAGTTAAAGTCAAAACAAAATATATTGTAAAAGTGTTGATTGGATGGTAAATTGTTCACTTAAGCATTGTTAACAGGTGGTGGAACCGTTTGAGCAATATTGCGTTTAGACATCAAGTTCTATATGATGCAAAGTAAACTATTAAATCGGTAAATTTACAAATGGCATGGTACCTGGGTCATGTATTAACATGTCGATGGAAATATAAGATGCTGTTGAAAATAGAACTGATACATTTTTGAACTAATCTAACTATTTGCAACTCCGAATTTAATACAATGAACGAAACCGCTGCTATCCTCTTCTTCCCTAAAAACTAACTGGAGCAAGAAGTTCAAGCTTGTATAGAAGCTTTCCTGATGATACCCCATAATAATTCAATTACACTCAAGCTTATTCAAATTATATTTCAATCATTAAATGATCATTAATTACTGAGTGCGAAATGACAGTGGATTAGGAAATACAATGAAAATGCATTGAAAGTTAATAAAGTGAAAGTCATTTTAATCGATACGCGAATTTCAAGAGTGATTTATGTTATATCCTAGTGAAGATTACATTACGAGTAACGTCTGAGACCTATTAGTGGACTAATATTATTTATATATTCTTATGGTATAAATATTCATTAACTAGATTATGTATATCTACATTCCCCTTATTATAAGCTTCATTTTGACCCATAATTTATTATTGTACGATTTACTGTTCTTAAGCTATGTTCAGTTTATTGACTACTGTCTCCCACGTTCACAGCCACTTTTTGGCTTTATTGTGTACAAATGTCATTTCTTATTTTATGTTGCGTTGCGGTCTGTTTGTTTGGTATATAAACCCAGTATGCTTGAAATATAGGATTCGCATAGTGGAAGCTGGTATTGTTGTTCTGGACTGAAGTGGACGGGCTAGGCGAACATAGGACCAATAAGGACACTAGGCTGCTCATACCGGTCGAACGTCATTGGTTTCGCACAGTGCTAAAATTGTATAAGTCGTATTTTGATTGATGGATAAATCACGTGATAACTAGCTGGACATAAAGTCACAACAATTTAGACATATGGGACCCCAACATAACTGGAAAAGGAATTAAAAGCAGCTACATTAATGAACGATACCAGTAAACAAAGTCGATAACCCATGGCTCATGTAAGAGGGAAGTAGAAGAATTGTTAAATGGAGTCCACATGATAATATAAGTCATTAAGGCGTATGAGTGACTTCGTCTAGAATATATCAAAGTGGGTTAAGATTGATCTAATATTGAGCTTCTTTGAAACCTTAAACACTTCACTGCATATTATTTATTATTCTTTTCTTGACATACATCCCTTTGATCCGATTCGCTGAATTTACATTTTATGGATGTTATTCTTCTGTGCTGCCACGAAAAAGGCCAACTCGAACCTGTGAGGTTATATGAAACGTTTTAAGTTATGGCTGTCTTATATATATATAAGAACTGTAAAAGCATTAAATAAGGAGTTAACGATGTTATCTAAACGTCACTATTTATATTCGATCAGTCAGCAACAACGTAGGACCAGGCACATATATGCATCGGTCCAAGTTGACATACAACATTAAAACAACAAGATGGACACCGGATTCATAAAAGTAGTTAATTCAGAGGTGGTAATATATAAAAGAAAGATTGTAATAAGGGGATAGTACAGGAAGAAAGAATTAGTTCGTAGAAAGAAAGATATGAAGCGATTTTAATCTCTTAGTTTAAGGGAAAACATAGAGTGTATACACCTACGTCACTGTGATCGATTCTTAGCCATGTCACGCACAGTCTTCAACCATTAGTTACGATAGTCACGCGGACCCCAACCAAGTAGTCTGCATCTACCAACATGGATCAGACTAGAAGTTAGTGACTTCAAGCACTGATGCCACGTTCTCGTTTGACCGACCCTGACTTTCTTCCAACCATCCCGAACACCGGTTAGCATTGCACGTCGTGGTAATCGGTGTTCAGGCATACGTAACACGTGGTCCAACCATCTCAGTCGATGAAGATTAACAACCTCATCAACTGATTTACCATCATTACCTAATACCCTGCGTCTAACCTCACTATTACCTACCCGGTGATCCCAGCAGACGCCAGCAATATTTCTAAGGCATCTGTGGTCAAATACTAATAGCTTACGAGTGTCTTCTACTCTTAATGGCCATGTTTCGCTGCCGTAAATTAAAACAGAACGAACTGCCGCGCAGTATACTCGTCCTTTTATTGATAGACGGATATCCCGCCTTCGCCATAGGTGACGTAAGTTGGCAAAAGCCAAGCGAGCTTTTCGAATCCGTGCTGAGATTTTGTCCGATACCAACCCATTAGGGCTGATCAGACTTCCAAGATGAGTGAAGTTGTCAACGCGTTCGACTACTTCACTCCCTATCCTTAGTTCAGGTGTTGACGCAGACCAGTCCTGAAGCAGCAGCTTGCATTTAGAGGAAAAGAAGCGCATTCCAAACATTCTGGCATTGTTGCTTAGTGCTGCCAAAAGACTTTGCATTTTATCAGCGTCTTCACCAAACAGGACTATATCATTTGCGTATTCTAAGTCGATAAGTGGACCTCCTGGAAGGAGATCAATACCCGAGAATTCAGTAGACGAGAATGTTATTTCCATCAATAGGTCTATGATGAAGTTAAACAAAAATGGAGAAAGTGGACAGCCTTGCTTTTAGTCTTATCGCTCTTCAACCGACCTGTCTGACATGGTAGGACCTTGAGGAGCGGTTGTTCCAGCCAGTATAGCTTGGTTGCTTTATCACGATAGGCAATCCCGACCACCACGTCAAGGCAGCAACAACGGTCGGGATTTATATTCGATGGTCTAAATCAGTGTGAAATGTTGATTATCCTAAGTTTAACATTATATGACTCGTCATTAAACCACTGAGAAAACCCTACTCTTCATAGAACTCAAACTCAGTTCATTCAACTTAACACTCCGATACACTCATTTGAAAGATTGAAACAAGTGGCTCAGTGAACACAAACACATATTTTTCTGTTTTCTTTAAAGTTAACAGAATTCCAAAGTAAATATTATGACTCAAATTATTTATTGCTCAATAAAAACATCATTGTCCATTGGAATATGGCGTAAAGTTAGTAGCGAGAATTATGTCATAAAATACTATTCGGGTAGAGTAATAATGAAATTATAGCACAACTCAGCAGGAATATGCAAACTGATGGATTAAACTATGAATTATATCTACTATTTAAAGGTTACCAATGTCCGTCGTCCACACCTCTGTGAACAGATTAAGATTTTGTCGTATCGTAAAAAACATGGGATTTGAGTGCATAAAACACAAATCTATGGCTTTTGTTCTCAAAAAAATAATCGTGCAATCCAAAAATGAAAACGCTAGGAAATCAAATCACACTATCAGTATTAGTATGATTTTAAACAGACACTAAGTGGTGAATACTTGGCCACATAAATACACAAGTTCACATTGTGTAAAGCACATGCAATAAATACTTACTTCAATTAACTGTAAATGAATAATTTTAAATAAATATTTAACCAAAAATAATTAAGATAAAGCATTTTTTCATACTCGGGTCTCCTTCGAGTCTTAGAGTATGTATAATGACTAGCTAGTTAAAACTGTTCAAACTAACATTTCTCAAGGGATTTCATACACATTACCACTATTGTTGACTTGTAAAAAAGGCAAGAATATCGTACTTGAAATTAAGTGATCAATTACCTTCAATGACGACAGAAAGGAAATCGTTCATAGATAATGTTTCGGTCTACCATTAAAAGCTACTTAAATGACTATTGTACTCTTTTAACATAGGGCTTATTGAAATAAACTCTTGGAATTCTCTCGATACATTTTACTGACCTCTTTTATTGCCAATACGTGTTAAGAAATGAGTCAACTGTATTATGATAGATTATATCGTATCTCACTGGTTTTAAAACATTTCAGCACAGAATTGCTAAATGTTTATGCTAATTAATTTTTCATAGTAAGGATTGATAAAAGATCTTGAAGTCCAATGACGTAACATAAATATCTGCCTGTCACTTTCTACAAAGTTTGTTACGTTATGTGAACAGCTAAAGCAAGAAAGCATCCATAAGGCTGTTAAATTTACTCAAACTTTAAAGTTTGGCAAATAAGCCAAGTGACTCAAAATCACACCACACTGAAATGCAAAGGTTAAAGGACGAGTGGTTAAACCACTGAAATACAGCTTCACGCCTAAACGTTTTAGTTAAATCGAGACTATCTATCATACAGAATGTTTGCAGACAATATCGCCCATAAAACAAGTTTTACAAAGAAAAATAAAGGAAAGGATTTGAGTAAAATTCAAGAAACATTAAACGTTTAACAATGCTCAAATTTTCCGTTCAGCGTTCATGTTTCACCTTATGAACCAACTGCGGCAGCTAGTTAGCTAAATAACTATTAAAAGTTACTAAGTTTTGTATAAACATTTACTTTAGAAAGCAAATAACCACTTCATCATGATTATGCTAAGAAGCTAATTTACGCTTAATCATTACAACAAAGCAACTTAAAGATAAGGATACCAAGTCCTTTGACAGTTGAATAATTAAATTTAGCGACAACCTATTAAAATTAAATCTATGACATAAAGAGCAAATACAATCATATTACAATTTACTTCTCGTTAAACGTTTGTGCGAAAATTCCCTCTATGAACAAGAACGAGATTTTATCTTTCATTATAATGACAAAATATACTTATTCCCAACACGACACTAACTCCTACTTCCGTAATTTCGAGAAATATTATCTGAAAGAACAGATAGTTGCTGCCGATGATCACCGACAAACGGATAATGAATGGATCAACTACTCAATTATGTTCACTAAATATAATTCATGGAAATCCATTACTTAGTATAATGACCGAATTTCAATTTTGATCTTACGTACTCTAATCAGTGTCACGATGGCTATTAGATAACAATCAACCAATTTAAATATATGCTTTCTTCAATAACTAACCAATAAGATACCCATATAGAGTTTAATAAAAGTCATGAACCAGGTACACCAAGGTTATTTAAGTTCCTTTATTATTGAAAATAAAAACAAATTGTTAAATTACCTTAACCTTCGATTTAAAAGCATTGCTAAGAAGGGCAGCTAGGTCAGTAAAGCTACGAGACTGAAACTTTTTCCGTTCTGCCTCCAAAGCAACTAATGCCGACGGTTTGCTTGGTGAACTGTTTTTTGAGTGACATGAAATTGGATTGGTATGGGCACGCTTTTGCTAAAAAGACCATTCCAAAATACGATTAGTGCACAGAGGGATATATATATTGAAATGATTAAAAATAACTTCGCAACTGAAATTTCGAAGGAACACCAAGTGTATATAGAACAAAATACATTATTACACAACAAGAACGTAACAGGTATGCATATTATAAATGAGCGTTATCAAAAATGTCCCTAACTTTATTGTCATAACAACTCCGGCTGCATCAAAGTCAAGTAAATGTTAGTTACACAGCCTTATTAAGACATTAAATAAGTAATTCTGCCTAAAACTGACATCGTTATACTTTCTTCTTCTCTAAGCTGTTTGCACCATTATGTTTTCAAAGAGTACGAGTACGCCAATTCGCTGCAACATATTGAACCCTAAAAACATCCGTTGATACTAACGTTTTACTCGGATCATTACAACCGAAAGTAATAAGTACATTGATGGTGCAGTGACTTAGTGGTTAGCGCAATCAGTCATACACAACATATAACCTGGTACATGTATAGCAGTTGGTGCACTCAACGTTCAATTACTAACTTTCAGGTTTGAACCCATCCTCACCCACCTCAGTTTAGACAAATGTATGGTAACGAGTCCTTACAGAAAGTGTGTTTAGAGCCGAATGCATAAACACGTATCACAGTGAACGAAATCGAGGTGAGACGTCACGAACTTGTTATAATGTGAGCAGCAAACGTAGTATTAGCTGTAATAAAATCAAAACTCATTTTTACTGTTGGAGTTACCGTTAGGCTTCTATTTAGAGAAAGACCTGACTAGAAGATAAACTGAGCCGAAGCAAGAGTTGTACAAGTGTAATTTGTAAGTACTCGGTACACTAGTAAGACATACCTTATACAGAGGGTTTGAACATAGAAACTTCGTGGCAAAAACCACTTGATACTGACATGTTCGGATTTCAGACACATCAACAATCTGTCCAGTGACACTTTCATGGCATATATACATAACAGTTGCTGTACGATGCTCCTGATTTAGATCACACAAAGTTCCATCAATATAATTGATTCCATAGTAAGGATATGAGTGTTCCCCAAGAGTAACTGTACTTGGTGGGTTCTAGTGAGAATAATAATAATTAGTGGACATACGTCTTTGCTTGGTCGGTCTTTCCCCATTTTAGGATCTAAGCAATTAATATCATGTAATGTTAAGACATACTTGGATAATAGTGTCCCAGGTAAAATTCTTGGACGAGAGGATTCTATTTTCTATCATATAAAATTTTCTAAACAAACCTTTTCCAATCTCCTTTCCTCGTGAAACTGTTTTATATGTCGATTATGACAAAGTTCATAACTCCAATATGCCTCTGATCTGACATTACACGGTTGCTCCGTAAACAAAGGCTGTAGCAGAGTTTCCTCATCAACCGAATCTGTGTTTTTGGCCTCGTCTTCTTCTGTGTTATGGAATAACATAGGTATAAAGCATTCGTAATCCTCTCCAATTGTTGTTCTTATTTTCACAACATCACTTTTCTATCAAGACCGTCGATAAAAAAAAACAAGAAGTACCTCCCTGGGTTGTTTAGAATCCCCTAGCCACTTAAAGTCAAATATAATATCATCGGTGACATTGTAAGATGCAATAACACATGAAAAACATAAAAATGCCAGGGCAGAGGACAAACGTTTAATTTGACACATAATACAGGTCATCTGCATTGACCGATATAAACACGGATACATATAGCCGAAAAATAGGTGTGTTAATATGGTGATAATCCCAAGCCGAAAGCTTAAATTCAGTGCTTCTGATGAGTGAATACCTCTAATTAGTTATTATTTCTTCTCTTCGTTTTTTACGATGCATTCCTCCAAGTGTAGCGGTCAATAAATCGCCAGAATCAGTAGCTCTGTAAGTCTTCGACATTGGATGCTGACCATGTTAATTTTAATAGAATCACCTAGCTGAACGCGCTTGGTCATGCATCCACACCAGATCATGAGTGGGAACGCCGTGCTCAACATCCTCTGCAATCGCCATCCAGTTTGGATCATCGTCTCTCGATGTATTGATAAACCTTAATTCTGACTTTTGATTTCACAATGTGGATACGCTTCATTTTTAGGTGATACTGGTTGGAGTGTTGTCAAACTACAAATACCTGTGGTGAGCCTGACGTGACCTAGTTCACCAACTTGCAAACTGTGAGTCTATTACTTTTTGGAATTCTATATCATTGCTTTATTTTGATTTTATATATTTTGATATTTTTCAGAGTTTTTGGATATATATTTCCTTCATTCATCCTTGTGCTTCATATCCGCTATGACAGAACAGACACCTAAGGCACTTAAGTTAAAGGCTGTGACTCTGTAGTTACCTACCTTTATCAAGAGAACGCGATTGGTGTAATGGAAACAATTATTATAACCAATTGTACCAGGGATTGTTTTACCGTAATTGCTTGTTTAACTGCGCCGAAATACATACATTCTTCCGTTGATTGTGACTTTGCACGAATCCGGTTACGCTCAGTAACCACCCTTGTAACCTGGCACGATCTCGGTATTCTTTCGACACCGCGAGATCGCCAACAAATACATCTCGACTACAGCCATCAACTGCCTTTTGATATTTGGCCTATGGGGGATCTTATCGATTGACTGGCACGTAGTCTTCATGTGGTGGTGATCATAGTCAACCGTGAATTGACGCCACACTAAAACTCCATCTCCGTTTCAACTAATGCGCTTTTCAATATACTGAAAATTCCCATTTTGACGTTCGGTAAAAGAAGGAATGAATTGAGCTAAGAAATTCTTTTACAATTAGTTTTTTTTAACATTTCGCTTAATGTCCTTCCGAACAGACAACACCAAAGCCTGATTCTGCTACTCAGAGGCCGACGTCCACAAGCACGGCGTGAAAAACGCACGTGCACAAATCCTCGAAGTAGTCAAGGCCCTATTGCGTGAATTCAACAGCTGCGTAAAACCTAGTATGTTTACTAGTGATGTTCCGGAACCTTACGAAGCTCTTAAACGCGGAGACATAACCGATCGACAAAGGTTAGTCCAACTCTTAAATAATAACGATCTGCTACGCATTTCAGCCACAGATATATTATTAGGAAGGAGAGAGGTGATTGGCCAAGGAACTTTCAATGACGGTATATTTAGACAATTTTCTTGTCCAAAATATCCCAACAGGTGTAAGTTGTGGTTGGTTGCTTTCAAAACAACGCCATAAACAGCCTGTCTGCATCTGCCGACTGCATTTTAGAGAACACTAAATCTACTAACGTCGAGGTTCATACAGTCAAACAAACACTTTAAGCGACATTACGGAACTATGTCATACGCTGACACATTACCTTCGATTTCGTAATGATAGCAAACGGCCACAAATACCGCGGAGTACTTCACGTAAGTAATCTGTCTCTAGATAACCCCGAATAGTGCCGGTATCATAATCAGTACGAAAATTCTTCTCGAAATTGCCGAAAACCCTGCAATTTACTGAACTCCGAACCGATCGACAAGAAAAGCGTTTCGGGAAACGTCCTAACCGGCACCCGTTAATGGCGATCGTAGGCGGCAAACACAGCTGTCTGTTATACGTCATTGATGTGGTTGAGAAAGTTCGCTACCTCTTCGACACTGGTGCAGAAGTTAGTTCTTTCAGCGAATTTTAACGACTGACTTCACGAACACGTTTTAAACTTACAAGCGGAAAACGGAAATCCTATCGTCAAATATGGTAAACGGTACGTCTACCTTAGTGTGGGTGAAATATAAAATGCTAAACATAACCACTCATCTCGAGTCCATAGACAAAGATTACCGCGATCAATTTAATTCAATTAATGAAAATATTCCAGTCGACCTTTATGATATCGAATAGCTTCGAGTGCTTGAGTGAATAAAACTTCCCAAACCAAAGATACCTAACTACTAACCTTTAAATTGAAATCTGCGACTCTACAAAGGAATATTTGACAATAGTACCTATTGAGTCGGCTTCCGAGAACTACAACGGAGCATCCAGAGGCCCTAAAAGAGCCGACGAGTTCCAGCCAATCAGAGCGTGATGGAGCCTTCTAGAATATCAACGTGGCATGCTATTATTGGTCAGTAGCATAATATATCTCATAGCGGATTGGCCAAAATATAATGTTGATTTAACAAATGTTAGTACATATAAATAACCATGTTTTTCTGTACAAAAATGAACCTTTGGAGTACAGTGCTTCTCGCATATTTTGCGTCTTTTCTCTCGTGTTTAGGTCGCTGTGTAGTTCTAGCTTGGGGATTACCAGAATAGCTTAGGAACCGAATAAAGCGTTCAATTAGCAAGACTTATCAGTGGCGACGGAAAACTACAATGAATATTTCTTTAGAGCAACTAGAAGCTTATATGAAGCGTCAAGAGAAGAGGTTTGAGCAGTCCCAAATCAGAATCATGGAAGCCCTGATGCAGAAATTGTGCCTGTCCCAGCGAAACCCTGCTTCTGGTGAATCACAAGTATCTCATACTGGTTCAGTCATTAATGCCATCCATGAATTTAATTTCGATGGTGCAGCAGGTGTAACTTTTGATTCTTGGTTTAAGAAATATGAAGATTTGTTCGATGTTGATCTCTGCAGGCCTGATGACACCTCAAAAGTCAAAATACTTCTAACAAAACTTGGGACGATGGAACATGGACGCTATATTAACTCCATTCTCCCGAATGACCCACGAAACTCTAGTTTTGATGAAACAATTAAAACATTGTCTCAAATCTTTGGAGAACAGTCATCTCTACTTAATATTCTTTACCACTGCTTGAAGATAACGAAAGAACCAGGAAATGACTGGGTGAAACGTGCAGGAATTGTAAACCGAGAATGTGAGAGGTACAAGTTGTCTTCCACGACTGAAGATCAGTTTAAATGCCCAGTATTTGTCTGTAGTCTGCGTTCATCCGAAGATGCTGACATCCGAACAAGAGTCCTAAGCAAGCTTGAACATTGTCCCAACATGACTCTGCAGGAAGTAACTACGGAATGCCAAAGGTTAGTGAATTTGAAGCATGACACCTCGATGGTAGAGAACGGTAACCGTTTCCCCTACGTCAATGCATTCGAGAGAAAAGTCTCACAAGGTTCCAGCACGCAGAACTATCGTGATGACAGCGACAAACCATCATTTCCATGCTGGTCATGTGGAAGTTGGCACTATAAGAGGTTCTGCCCGTATAACGAACATTATTGCAGTAAATGTCATCGAAAGGGCAATATAGAAACCAGCTGCAGTAAAAGAAACCATAAACGTTATTCTGCAAAACCCCACTTCAAGAAATACAGGTCTAGCGCATTAACAAAAAGAATATTGGTATCATATAATTAAACACGAAATTGCTGCCAAAGAAAGTACGTAACGTTAGATATTATTAAACACCGTACTCGCCTTCAGCTTGATACAGCTTCTGATATTACCCTAATCAGCCCAGGAACTTGGAGGAACATTGCGAGACCCACAGTTCTCCCAACAACACAACTGGCACACAGTGCATCTGGGAGGAGGTTAAATATTGTTGGAGAAGTGCCCTGCACTGTTTATAACGGTACTGTAACAACGAATGCAACAGTATACCTTACAAAGAAGCCAGCACTCGGCTTATTAGGGTTAGATCTTATAGAGATACTTAAACTAGCAGACCATTCCATTAACAGCATCTGCAGACGAATCAGAACTGACAACCCTTTAGAGTAGAACCAGAAAAACGCCGTGCTACAAAGACACCACGACGTGTTTAAAGAAGGATTTGAAGAGTGTACGAAGGCCAAAGCATTGTTAAACCTAAAACCTGGAGCTACTCCCACATTTCGACCTAAAAGACCTGTACCCTATGCTGCTCTTCCAATAGTTGAACAAGAATTACGACTTCAGAAAATGAATGTTATCGAACCTGTGAACCTCTCAAACTGGGCTGCACCGATAGTGGTGGTCAAGAAGTCGAATGGAAGCATCCGTCTATGTGCAGACTACTTTACCGGATTAAATGAAGCTGTAGAGTCTCACCAGTATCCGTCACCCTTACCCGAAGATCTTTTCGCTAGGCTGAACAGTGGCAGATATTTTGAGAAATTGGACTTACCAGACGCGTATCTACAAATCCCGGTATCTGATGAAAGCAAAGATCCGACGATCAACACACACAAAGGTCTGTTTCGGCATAACCGACCACCTTTTGGGGTGAAGACGGCGCCCTCTATTTTCCAGAAAATTATGGATACCATGTTACAAGGCATTCCAGTGGCAGCAGCTTATTTAGATGACATCATAATTATGGCAGAAGACAAAATGGACCTGCAGAAAAAACTGGATCAGGTACTAGAACGCATAGCCGATTATGGTTTTCGCCTCCGAGCTGAAAAGTGTGACTTCTACATGCAGAAGGACGGTAGCTCGGGTTCATAATAGATAAAGACGGAAGACGACACTAAGTTCTGGTGCCAAGCGTTTAACATTTAAACCACTAAGCCGGTACCCAACCTAGCTTCAATCGATTGGAGGCTTGGTAGCGACGGTAAACAGACGCAACAGAGACTTTTTTACTGAGCTACGACTTTCAAGGGGCTTCGAGGCTTAAAGTCAGTCGATAAGTATCATTATTCGTCTGACTTCAAATACGAGAATTATACTTGTCATCATTATTATTCAAAAGAATGGATTTAATAGGCAGTAATCTTGTGTTAAAATGATCAAAACCTGATAGGAAATTATAAGCAGAGATGGATGGTGGCTAGCACTGGAATCTAGGACGCACGTTTCGTCCTGTTTGGGACTTAGCTGGGTGTACATGTATCTCAAAGTTAATGTTCACTACGGAGACTCGAACCCAGTACCGTTTTCTACAAACACCATCGCGTTATCCATTTAGCTACTGAGTTCAGATAGCCACTACCTTGTGCAATGGGGTGAAGTTTTAATTCATTTAATTCAGCCAATGAGAGATTGATCAATTTCAGTCCTAAACATCAATCGGAAGATTTAAACAACCAATACTAAATGAATCCGAAATGTACTGAGAATTCAATAAACAAATAATAAGTCATATACCTAAATTTCCATCAGACTAAATTATATCAAAATCTTGAAAACATTTGACATTAGATAATAGTTTGACATTATGAAGACCTGCATTTGATCGGTCATAAGTAGAAAAGTGAATAAATTACGAGGTTTAGAATTAAGTTACTACTCTTACAATGCAGTTAGCAGGAGGCTTGGGCATAACCAGATGGTTTGAAGAACCCCAGGACTCATTCAGTTTTGATTTGGAATTCGTCTACAAGACACCAAAATCGAGGTTATGTTGTACACAACGTGAGATATAATATGGAAATATACATGCAATTTATAAATCAATGCTAGAAAATTAATTATGTGTAAGACATGTGTAAGACACAAAGCCAAAGTGAGAATCGTACAATTTAATTGCATTACTAAAAAAGAGATAACTAGTCCTTATCATCCAGAACTAGTATATTTAAAAAACTGATCACCAGACACTAGTCAATATTATGTTCATTAAATACTCACAAACATCCACATCTCTGCTATGTGCTAGTCACGGTTTGCTGCTGTTGTATTCATTTTTAAAGAGCTTACAAATGCATGTAATAATCATCAGTTTAAAATTTATCAGTCGTGTCTAGAATATTCATTTCTGCAATACTCTACAAACAGGTCTTAGTTTAGGTATAGATTGGTCGGTCAAATATTCAACTTCTGCCAATTCCTTGAAAACTATCATATGTATTCTATGTCGAAAATTATCTGTCTATACATCAAGGCTGCCCTCAATTCGTTTAGAGGCAATGTTATTGAGGAAGCATTTATATGAGGTGAAATATAACTTTGCTGCGTTAAGAATATATCAGTATTGTTTAATGAACATTTATTTTGTTACATTTATTTCTTTACCGACTAGTTTTAAGTTTTCACGTCCTTTTCACTACAATATTGTTAGCTCACATTTTGTGGGAAATTTCTCGATCTCCTATCATACCAGGCTTTTTCCTGTGATAATAATACTATGTAAATATGAGAACAATCATAATTAATACACTAGTTTCCAGTAATTAGAAATGAAACTTGATAAGAAACGATAATATTTATGATGAAAGTCGACCAATCTTTGCCCCAAATATTTTTCTTCAAGTTTATCGGGCTCAAATTATTTTCTAATTCAATATTCCCTTAAACAGAGCAGGTAAATTGTCTTAACGACTGAAACTAGACGGTGGAATGAAACAAATTTGATGCAGCAAAAACAGGAAAACAAACCACTTTGAAATGTGTTTATTATGAAAATTAGCATTTGACTCATTCATTCTAGATGCCATTCAGAATCCGACCGGTTTTTCTGTTTTGTTTGAAAATCTAAATTGAAATGGGACAGTACGATTTATCAACGGATAGACGTAAGTATACGGCAATCTGTCACAAGAACTTACACAAAGAAATGACTAGTGAGTAACTAATGCCCACATGCAATCCCAGACAACATAACACTTTGTAAACGTATGTCAATGTCTCTTAGTATTTAAGTTTATCGAATAATTCTCTTGTAATATCTTGAAGTTATTTTCCTTGTTTAGATGATCTCAGCAACTCCATCCGTTAAATTAAGGTTTTAAGGCAGAAAATTAGTTTATACAACTGCAGATGTACCTTCAACTTCTGTATTTTAGAACGAAACGTCAGTGTTATCATTTATTAGTCTCCTAGGTTGATCTTAAGGGTATCAAATACGAAAGACTATTATCCTTAAAAGGTTTTAAGAGATTAAAGGATTGAGGTTAAAATGGACTCAAATAAAAATTATTCCGGGAATAGATATTATGTAAACGGTACCTTTGGTGAGAAACTGAGATTTGTGCTTGGTTTGCTTGTCGAAATTTTTGCTGGAAATAGGGACAAAATAAATACAATACAATACACTAGTTACCCGGTGCATGTAACGCCTCAGTGCCATCATTTGATTTTGAGGAAAGATTAATTAACTGTGGCTTCTCTATCAGTGAAATAAGCTCTGCTTCATAAGACCCAATATGAACAACTGAACCAATATCAATTTCATTTAAAAAAGCTAATTTATGACCAGAAGCAGATGCTATTCTATAGTTGGAAAATAACCGGTAAATTTACCTTCATTAAAAAAGTAGCACTTACACTTTCAAATCTTCATTGATAAGCTTTATGATTCGACCTTCAACCTCTACAAAACCTAAAAATTACGTAGAGATAAACAAGACTGATGACTGCTTACCATCCCCTTCCCATTTTTTATGCTAAAATGCAAGCAAAACTGGTAAACGATATTCGCCATACCTTTTTAGTCGATGCTTTAGCATATACAGCCTCGAAATACCTGGAACATTTCATAGCATGAGATAAATTAAAATTTGTAGGCGTAATGTTCATTTTAGGACTTGAGGAACAGTGTGAAACTGACTTGTACTCAGCCGTCTTTACGAGGTTGGAATTTATCGACAGATCTTGAGACTGACTAGTACGACTTGGTGCTGCAGATCTCCGCATATTACTTTCTAGATGAAACGTTACAATTATCAGTTTCAACGGAAATGATTTTATTAATAAGTTTGAAGAAGTAACTGCTAAGAACAACGTTTTTCATCATCTGATGCGAACAACTCATTATTCCCCACAGTTATTTGAATATACCCAAAAAACACTTTTGGACAGTTATCTTTCCTTTTACAAATGCTTGATTCACTTAAACTTATGCTATATTCCTCAGGACTTATCTCAAGCAAAAACAGTGATTATAAAGCAAATGAAATCACTGTTCTTTCGCTTGAAAACCTTACCTTTTGATCATTCTGTTTGTGAACCTTTAATCCTAGTGGACGTTACATGAAAGGACTAACCAATAAATTGCTAAGGCTTTATCCAGCTTAGTCCGTTTTCTAAATTTATATCAAACAAAAATATTTCACAAAGAAAACGCCACTATAGCTAAGATATTTCTGGGATAAGGCATGTCGACAGTAAACATAACGTCAATTCGATATATTTCTATGTACGGATATATAAACAACATAATGCTGGATTTATGACTTAGCTGAATGAATCTGAATACACAGTCAACAAACAGTTCAATTTCATAGACTTGAATGCACGTTAAATCAAGCAAAGTGCAAGCTCTTTAGTAAGGTAGACTTTAATGAAACGTTTGCGCACATTTGATGGTGATAGTTTACTTTAGAGAAGGGAGGAGTGAGAAACGTGGAAAAAAAGTTACTTAGTGTAAGTTGATGACTCCATAACACGTATAGGAATCCCTCGGTTTCCATATCTTTCGCGTTAAAGGGAGAATATACAGGGGTCTGTACGTATATTTAAGTACATCTGTGTATGTCCATTCTTCTCTCCATAAATCCCATTTGCATAATATTAAGACGATTACCGACATAACAATGAGGAAATGAGAATGCCAAGTAACAAGATGGTTGATGATAGCAATAGTAAAATGCGCGAGCTACGGAGGAGCTATTAAACGACTCGAAACAGTATCAAAATGGAAACGGTTGAATGTCAAACACAAGACCGAGCCTCAAGCTTCTAAAAGTTTGTAATTGGTGACTTTACGATAAATACATGACGGGAAAAATAATTTCGGAACCAGTAACTCATTCAGCCAAGACAGCAATCTCAAAAGACAGGAGATAACAGGTATCACTGTAGTGTAGAACCAAAGCGACTGGAGTCCAGAGAACGAATTTCAGGCTCATTTAAAAGCAAATGACTTTCTATTACATCACATAAAGAGCCTCATAATAAGACTTATATTTTCACCCAAGATATAACTAGCGGGAAAATGATTCCGAATCGGTGAAAAAGGATAATGCTCATAACGGTCAGTCGGTAGGACCAGGCACATATATACATCAGTCCAAGTTGCCATACCTCATTAGCACAACAAGATGAACACCAAATTCATGAAAGCAGTAACTTCAATGCTTATATATATATACTACTTACGATTGTCGCGCGGACCCCGACCAAGTAATCTGCATCTACCAACATGGCTCAGATCAGAAGTTAGTGACTTCAAAGACTGATGCCACGTTTCGGTTTAGCCGCCCTTAACTTTGTTCCGTCCGCACCCGACACTGGTCAGCATTGCGTACCGTGGTAATCGGTGATTGAACATGCGTAATACGTGGCCCGATCATCTCAGTCAATGAAGATTCACAGCCTCATCAACTGACCTACCATCATTCTCTGCGTCTAGCCTCACTATAACTTACCTGGTGATTCGAGCAATGTTTCCAAGACATCTGTGATCAAGTACTAGTAACTTACGAGTATCCTCTACCGTTAATGGTCACATTTCACAGCGTGAAATAAACCAGGACGAACTAATTCACAGTTCGTTAATTAAAATGCTTTTTGTAAAATGCGGACTTTAAAGCAAACCACACCATTACTAATTCACTAAATAATAGGAATACTTATGGCTGAGGATTCTAAAACATATCGCTATTTCTATGCACACAGTCTTGTAGCCCTACTTTGTCTTTTCCTCAATGGTCTAGTCATAATAAACATTGAGATTGTGGTTTTAAAAAAATCGGTGAAGAGGTGTGTGGAGAAACACTAGCATACAACACCTGCGTCTGAACCATATCACTCATCATCTATAACCAGTGTTTGGCATTATTGTGCGGATGCCAACTAGGTGGTCTACAAACATAGCTCAGACCAACAGTCAGAGACATGGTGAACTGACCTCAGACCATTGTTTAGCTGTTCCTGGTGTTTTTCTAAGTTTGCCAAAATTGCATGACGAGGTCGGTATTGGTTGGTTACACGTAACACATGCCGGCAACATCTCAACCGGTGAACATACATGGCCTCATCAGGTGATTTTCCATCTTCCCTAGTACCCTGCGTATGACCTCAGCGTTGCTTACCTGGTCGTCCTGTAACACCTGAACAGTGTTTTCGAGGCGCTCAACATGAGAAGCAGGAACGCTACGTCTGCGTTTAACTCTTGTCGACCATGTTCCACAGCCATATTCCTGCCGTGTAAACCCCTTGATATTTGATCGGAAACCAATCCCTTACCAGGACTGGTGAGACCTAAGAAACATGGCGTATCTAACGCTCATTCATGATGTATAGCCAATCTGGGTGATGGTGCAGACCAGTCCTGACAGTGTTACGACAAATCGACCAGGCAAATAATTCCCAGTGGACTGTTCATGACTATAGAAAGAAAATCACTAGTTCTGTAAAATCTACAACAGTAGAACTGCATAACTGAAAACGGCGAGACTATAATTTATGGACGAACCAATCCGATTTACGATAACAGGTCTTGGATTTCGGCGCGAAGCTATACATTTGGCTAAATAGCGTCTTAACATTTTAACTGATGTCAGTTCGTGGTGAAAACCCTCAATCTAATCACTATCCCTAACCACCAACTGCAAATTACAATCCTTATCCTTCAGACTGGTTTAAAACCGTTATTGAGCCATAGTCAGTAGGTGGACATCCTCAAGGCTATTTTAGCGTCGCCCAAAGGTCGTCCATAAATTATAGCCTCACCCTGAAAACTTTTATGAACCGATAATTGACTTTTATTATGCGTCCACAATTCCTAACTGATAAATTCTTCGGAATTTCATAATTTCTCAAGCTAAATATACTTGACTTTTGTGAACTTTGCAATGCAGTGACGCCTCATTAAGGGAAAATCACAACTCCAAAAATTTTGGGCGGATTCTAGGTTCATTAGTTGCATTTTCCCGAAATTCCTTAAAGGAACTTTAGAGGTTCCACCGAAATTAGTCAATCTTGCCCCAGCTGGGGCGCTAGCGCTCGAAGCTCGAGGTGTGGGATATACTAGGATCGTTCATTAGAAATGGGAAGGAACCTAAATTAATAGACAAACAGCAACCACTTAGTAACTCAAATGGAAGAACGATGAGTGACAGCACAGAGAATTATATCCCCAAATTGAATAACGCGGCTAGAAGTGACAAAATACAGTTCCGTATACCGTCTAGTGAGTTCAGTTCATGAAGAACTTGATTTTCCCCTCTGGAAAATTCACTCTTTGATACCGTGAAATAAAAAGAACATATCCACGTGAATAAAATCAGACAATAGTCTGGTCTGCGTCAAACTCAGAAACAACTTGAGCGCTATTTCCACCGTACAGGTATGTTCGTGCCAACAACTTAGTGCAGTTAAACAGCAAAAGGACAAGCCATTTTAAAACTCAAATGATGCAATCACTATTTATATATCCTTATGCATTTTTATAGACCATAGTTTGTATTCAATTTGATTTGAATTCGAATGACTACAAAATTGCCGTTCCACGAAACAGCTTCCGAGAGAGAAGGGCGGTTATGTGCTATGAATAACCACAAGTCTTTCAGGGGACAAGAAATGATAATCATTGAACCATTGAGATTTTGATAGCAATAAATGCCTGATCTTACACATATACGTATGTTGAGACGACTAGTGTCATAGATTCGCTCATCTGTATTTCCCAGAAAGTACTTCCCATCCACTGTAGTTGAATTCGATGTCCTAGAAACCTTGTCGACTTTGTCTAGTCATCTTGGGTAGTTATTACGGAATGTATCTAGGGTGATACTGTGGTACATAGAGGGATTTTAGACTCAGGTGTAGGATTCATTTTGTATGGTTCTGCGAGAATATGTAAAAGAATATCTCAATATGTGTTTTTTCCTGTGAATATTTAAATGTTTTTCTTGCTATGAAACGTTTTCGTATTTTTTGTTGAATTCATATTGTATTTCATGTAATATTAACACTTTGGTTTACTGTGATAATCTGAAGCAGTCGAACTCAATATATTTAATCGTCGCAAATAGATAATGAGAAAAATTGTAGTATAATCGATAATATTTTATTTGCAATATCAGTTAGATGCACATTAATGTACAGGAGAATTATCCATCAGTACAAAAGTCATACTTGCCCTCATACGTAAGGTGTGGTACCTTTATTTGTAAGCTTTTTGATTTCTCGTATGACAATTGTCACTCTGCTGGCATATAAATTGAGATTACTGATCCTTTTACTTGATATTATATAACTTCTCACTGACTGTCTTCATTTTATTCTATCATTAGGCTTCGAGGGCTAACAAATTGACTGACCGCGCTTTTTTATTGTAACTGTTTGATCGGTAGAAATATCTAGATCTATTAGATACAAACCAGGTTCCTTGTTTGTTAGAAACATGTAGATCACTAACATAGATTATCTATGTTGAATGATTAAAGAATCTAACCGAGTTAGGTAGAAATGTTGTGACCAAGAGCAAACCTCAAAGTCAAACCTCGCAGTCAGCACCTCACACGGATTACTCCTTGATTGTATCAAGGTACTATGGTTGCTTTGAAAACCGTATAACACAAAGGATGTTGTTACGAAACGTATTACTACAAGTAGGAACGAGGGAGAAGTTGAGGCCATCACCGCACGGACTAGTCCATGGCGTTGATTGTCCTTGACCTTGACAGAGA